TAAGGAAGAAAACAAGCATTTATTAAGCACCTACTATGTGCCAGGCATTCTTGATGTACACTATCCATTGAGTGCTTTTCTCCTCCCCTCTTTAGGAGACTCCAGATCTGAGTCAAGACCTAAGGAAGAAAACAAGCGTTTATGAAGCACCTACTATGTGCCAGGCACTGTGTTAAGCACTTTACAAATGTCTCAGTTGACTCTCACAACAACTCTGAGAGCTAAGTGCTATTATTACCCCCATTTTACAATTGAAGAACCTGAGGTTATAAGTGACTTGCCTAGTGTCACACAGCTAGTAAGTGGCTGAGGTTGAATTTGAACTCAGGTCTTCCTGATTCCGGGCCCGGGCTCTGTCCACTTCATCACCTCGCTGCTGCACACCTCTCAGCAGACATTTCAGGAGTTATGGAATGGAGCTGTGAAGAGCCCAAAAGGGTCCCTTAGTAGGGAGGAAAAGGACTCAGTAACCAGGTATGACGCCCTGCCCTCCAGCACCAGCGCCTGCTATTTCTGTCAGGACCCTAAAATGGAAGCTGCAAACTGAACCTCAGTGTTCTGGTAACCAGTCAGTGTTCGGGTTGCTCTGAAGGTCTCGTCCAGCAGACAAGCTTGTATGTTAACAAATAACAACTCATTTCTGATAGACTCCGGCTAATGCCCCAAGTAGTCTTCTCCAGTGGAAAAGGTCACTTTAAAAGAACAGAGCGACAGAGCGACAGAGCGAAAGAGGGAGAGAGGCATGCTCCCAATCTTTGGGGAAAGGGGATTCTCAGGAATTCACTCCAGAAGGACAGAGACAGTCCCCAAGCAAAGGGCTTCCAGGGAATTCAAGTCCAAAGGCTGACAGAGAGGGAGCGATGTGCACTTCCTGTCTTTCCCTTGGAAGAGGGGTTCAATTCAAAGGGAGAGACAGGAGGAAAGGAGAAAGAAGTGGTCAGGGAGTCTCTAGGTTGCAGAGTGGAAAGACTATGGGAGGGGGTGGTTTTCCAGGACTCGAGTTCAAATCCTGCTCCAGACACTTTCTTAGTTGTGTGATCTTGATCAAGTCACTTAATCTTTCTCGGCTTCAGCTTTCCCATCAGTAAAATGGAGATAACAATAGCACCTTCTCCATAGAATTATTTTAAGGATCAAATGAGATAATATTTGTAAATCCTTAGATGAATGCCAGCTAAGATGGTGCTAGGCTGCCCTACGTGGGGAGGCACAGGTGCCTTTCTCTCTCTCTCTCTCTGTGTCTCTCTGGGAGTCTCTCTTCCCCATGGGTCTCTGGGTCTCGGTCTCCCCTCCCCCCTTCCTCCCTCCCCCCTCCCCTCCCCAGCTGATGGGTCTCCGTCTCTGTATGTCTCACCCCACCCCCACCCAGTTTCTCGGTCTCTAGCTCTCCAGATTCTCAACCCGCCCCCCCTCCCCCCGCCCCGCCCCCCCCCAGTCCAACCCCGCGCCTCTGCCCCTACCCCCAAGAGAAGGAGGGGGCGAGCCTTCGATCGACCTCCCAGCCCCCACCCGGAGCAGGCCCCGCAGGCCCCGCAGGCCCCGCAAGCCACGCCCCTCGGGGCGGCTCCCACAGCGACCCGGGCGCTCCATTGGCCGCCGCCTGCGTCGCTCCGCTGCGCTCTCCGGATTGGCCGAGCCCTCGAGGGGCGGGCCTACGAGCAAGGCGGTGGTTGGCCGGCAGGGAAGCCCTATAGGGGCGCGGCACCGGTTTTGAAAGCGAGGCTGCTGGGACGACGACGACTCGTGCAGCAAAGGTGCTCCCGACCACGAGTTCTTCGAGTTCTTCGAGTTCTTCTGCTTCCCGGACGGACGCAGCGAGAGACCGGCGAGTTGCCATGGTAACCTCTCTCCCGGGGCCCCGTCCTTGGAGCCTTCCCTGGGCCCGGAGGAAAAGCCCCGCCCTGCTCAGGCGCCGGGAGCCTGGGTTCAAATGTTGCCTGCGGCCCTCGGATCCTTTCCCTCCCGGGGCCTCGAGCCCCCTCCCCCCACCCCACCCCACCCCACCCCACCCCCTGAAAGAGAACGCGGGGCTGGCTCAGCGATGTCTCCAGGGCCTCCTGAGGACGCCGGGGCCGAGAGCAGTTCCGGGGTGGGTGAGGGGCGGAGCAGTGCCGGGAGTGCCTGGCCGGATCTCGTGTTCCCGATCCCGATCCCGGGCAGGGCGGGGCGGGGTTGGTGGGCGAGGGCTTTGGGTCCCTGCAGGTGGAGAGCTGTGGCAGCCTCGGTACTTTGCGGAGAAGGGAGGGGCCCGAGGGCGGGCGGACCCCAGATGATCAAACAGTCAGTCCACAAGCGTTTACTAATTGATGTATGGAATTGTGTCCTTTCCCCTTTCAGCAGTCTCCCAGCAACACCCTTGGGTACAGAGCTAGCTTTGCCGAAGAGGCAAAGGTCATTTCGGAGCAGCTGCAAGGTCAGGGGGGAGCAGATATATCTACCATAGAAGCCGAGCTCCCACCTCCCGACTTGAGTTCCTCCGCCTCTTTTCTGGACCTACCAAGCAGTGACGAGGCCCAGGTGCAGCCCAGTGACCGCTCACTTCCCCCCGCTATTCTCGACCCTGTGCAGGAGCCTTCCCCGGCCACCCCCAGTGACCAGGGCCTTCTGTTTCTCAAAAGGCTGCCAGCTTTTGAGGAGGCTGCCAGCCCTGGCAGTCTGGTCAGATGGGAGCTCTGTAGCCTGTCGCCTGATGCTGTGCAGGCTGCTGATCCCTGCTCCTTGGCCCCCCAGCCAAGCACTGAGCTCAATAAGACCTGTCTGCTTAGCTCAGGCACTCCCCTGCCTCAAGCAGCCCAGCCAGAAGGCAGCCAGGCTCCAGATGACCAGGCCAGTGAGGAAGGGGCTCTCCTCCAAGTGCAGGACCTCTCAGACATCCTCATCAATAACACTTTCTTCTTTAGCAGGGCTCCCTTTGGGACCTGCACCCCACAGGGAGCTCCAAAACCGCTGAGGCTGCTTGAAGGGGCATTTTTTTTCCCCTTCCCAGAGATCCCCCAAGCTCAGGAAGCACCCGGTGTGGCTGAGGCGGCCCAGCCCAGTGCCAGACGCCCCCAGAGGCCTCGAGTAGCCACAGGCAGCCCGCCTAAGGCCACCCCAAAAAGTGGCCCTCTGGGGAAGCTGGGCCAGGAGAACCGATCCCTGGCTGGGGCCTCTTTAGCTGTTTCCAGGAGGGAGCATCAGGCCCTTCCTCTGCCTGGGCAGAAAAGATGGTCACCTGTCCCCTTCAAAACTTCCCACTTGCCTGTCCTGTGCAAGTCCAGAAGGGAACCCTTGGCATCTCCAGGAGCTAGGCAGCAGAAAGGCAGGATCTGTGAGGCGGGCAGGATGAAGGAAGCAGAACCACCTGCCAAGGCAGGGAATAATCCACCCTCGGCAGTCAAGGTGTCTCAAGTGAGTAGCTGCCCTCTCCTGTGTCTGGCACTGCCGTGATGCACTTACTTCCTAGGCATTTGTGTCCTTGAGGGGGAAGGTCAGCCTGTTACACTGGGAGAGGAGATGCTTGTCAATTGACTGACAAGGTAGAAGCTGAAGAAGGAAGGGAGGCTGGCCACTGAGAGGTGCCCATGCACCACATGCACAGTGCCTGGTTTGTGTCAGTGCTTATTCTCCAAGCCAGGAACTCCAGGTTCATCGGGAAGGCCTAGGCCTTTGGGCTGAGCTCTGCTCTGCTACGTCAGGCCATGGCATTTGCCCTCCACTTTCTGTCTGGCTCAGTTCTCCCTCGTGGGTTAGGGGTATGTCAGGTGACTGAGGCAAGAGCAGTGGGTAAGGGACTGGGGCCTCACTGCCCTCTGCCCTTCCCCCGTCAACTGCTAACAATCCAACTAAGAGCAAAATCAGTTAAACAATAGCACTGAGTGTGTGTGTGTGTGTGTGTGTGTGTGTGTGTGTGTGCGTACGTACACGTGTGTACTTCAGTTCCTCCACAGCAAATCGACGCCACCTCGAATCTTGCATCAGAGGGGTCCCAGTGCTTGGGACTCTAAATCCAGGGACCCTCAGGCAGCTCGAATTTTGAAGCCCTTGCCTTCTAACCAGGGCACCCGATCCAGAGTCCCATCCAGGACAGGTAAGTCCTCTGAGCTTGGGAGTTTGGGAAAAGAGGGAGAACTTGGGCACACATTCACTCCCCAGGCTCTAGTCTCCCTTCCCAGCCGAGCATCCTTTAGGAACTAGGGCTATGAGCCGAACAAGCTGGGGGCCAGATCGTGAAGCTGCCTTGTGGGTATGGAGAGCTCAGAGGAGAACCCCCGTCCTCACAGGGGCTCCAAGTCTCGTGAGAGCGAGGCCCGGCTGCAGCTTGGGGCACATAATCAGTCTGGTCTCCAGTCTCTTGGCCACAGACTGTTCTGAGGCCCCTTAAACATAAGCAGAGCCTGAGCCCTGAGCATCTTGGTGTTGCCTGCCAGCAGGGGGCAGCACTGCTTCCACCAACCCTCATCTTGCCCAACATGATCCCACCTGGCTTTGTCCCCTTCTGTTGCAGATGAGCAGCCCGCCAAGCAGGACGGGAAGCCCCAGCCTTCTTCAGGACGGACGTGCCTCCAGGTAAGGGAAGTCAGGCTTCCCAGCCAGAGGATCCCTCTCTTTGGACCTAGATTTCTCCTCATGGAAGCTTTGGTGAAGGGTAGGGAGCCGGCCAGCCCCCTGGGAAAGAGATGAGCCTCATGCGCAGGCACATAGGGGACCTTTCTTATCTTCGGGATGGAGCCTGGTATGAGAGGCAAGTCCATGGCATAGCAGATGGAGCCAGGCTTCAGATGGGCCCCACATCCTTACTAGTCGAGTGGCCCCGGACAAGGCAATCTGCCTGAGCTTTTGTTTCCTCATCTGTATAATGGGGTTAATAATAGCAACTATCGTGAGGATTGGATAAGATGATGGAGGGGAAGCATCTTATAAGCCTTTGAAGCACCGTGCACATCGGAGCTTAGTGTTATCCCATCCCCTCCTTCCCCCTTTTCCCAAGGGAGACTAGCAGGGTCCTTGTTCTCCTGGGTAGGGAGGGTGGCTGGTTTTGGTTAGGGGATGGCTGGAAGATCTGAACTCTTTCCTATGGTATCTGTTGGGGGACAGTGCCTTGTGCTGCAGAAGCAAGTGGAAGACCTCAAAAGCCAACTAGGTATGGAGGGCAGGGGCAGGCGGGCAGGGCAGCCCGCTTGTCCCTGGCAGCCAATCCCCCAGCTTCTTCCTGGCAGAAGGCCAATGTCATGGAGGGAGAAAGGGGGTATAGAGTGGGGGGTGGGGATGAGAAGTTAGAGCAGAGAGAAGCAAGTTAGCAGGAGGGCGGGCCTGCTGCTCCTTTCTCCCTGCCCCCCCCCCCCAAGCGTGTCCTTCACAATTCTTCCCAGGGTTCTGTAGCCTCATGAGTACCAGGGGAGATGAAGTGGGGAATGAGGGCATTGGTCCTGGGATGGCTGGGTAGACACACAGAGGTTCCGAGTGCGGGCTAAAAGGTATCGGCTGTCCCGGGCCTAACGAATGCCCTTTTATTCCAGCCGCCATGCAGTGCCTTAGCGGGGAGCTCCAGGGCCTTCAAGGTTAGTAGCCGGGGCCAAGGAAGGAGGCTGGCTGGGGGCTGGAGCGGTGGGGGAGGTGCGGAGGCTCCCCGTGCTCATTTCTTCTCTCCTCCCTCGGCTCTGTTTGACCGACAGGCGTGGCCCGGGATCCGTCCACAACAAACACCGGGGGCACCACCTGAATGCCAGGCCCCGGACTCCAGGGCCCTCTCCTCCCAAGGCGGGCCCTACCATGGAGTCTTTCCGGGTCCTTGTCTCCTTTCCTCCTCCCTCACCCCCGTTCCCCACCCTAGGACATTGGAGCTAAGCGCACGGGTGGGGGTCTCCCAGTTCTGACTGGAGGCCAGTTGGGGCCAAGTTTTGTTGAGAGGCCTCATCATCGCAGGCTGTTAGCACAGTGACCTCCGGCTGCTCTTCTGAGTGGTTGTTCCCGTTCCCGTCCCCATCCCCCACTTTAGGTGGAAATGCCAGGAGAGAGCTGGGTTCAAATCTCACTCACATCTGGTGCCTCACTGACTGTGTTACTCTGGGCAAGTCACTTCATCTCCGAGTTCCCTCATTTGTGAAATGAGGCTAATGATTTCTTCCTGTTTCGACCCCAGTTGTTGTAAGACTCGGACGAGATGATCTATGTGAACTGCTTCAAGCATCCTTAAAGGCTCTCCTGGATTTTGTTCCAAAGGGCTTGGATGCCAGAGCATGCACACTGGGAGAAGGCATTTCCTGACTGGGAGTTCATCCCCTCCTCCCAGACCCCACTCTTCTTTCTGTTTCCTTTGGAGTGATTTTAAGTGATCATAGAAGTGGAAGGGGCCATCCCTTGTGCAGATGAAACTGAGGCCCAGGGAAACCAAGTAACTTGCGCAGCGTCACGCAGAGCACAAGCGTCACAGTTAGGCTTTGAATGCAGGCTCTCTCGCCTCAGACAAATTTGGAAGCCTTTATGGTAGCCCAGGCAAGAATAATAAAGCAGTTTGAGTGGCAAAGGTGGAGGCAGGTCAGAAACGTTGACTGGCTTGGATTTGGCCTGGGTTTGTTTGGGGAGGGGAGTGGGTTATCATGGTATTGATGGAGTTTGAGATGTCAGTGGGACCAGGGGAGAATGTCTGATAAGAATTTGGTAGTGTGAACGGTTCTGGAGATGAGAAGAAGGCTTGTGGAGGCCAGGACTCCCTCTGGCTGCTGGAGAGGCCCAGCTGATCCATGTGAGGTCAGGGAAGCAGCCAGCCCTTCTGTCTCGTCCACAGCGAGGCCTCTTTAGGGTCAGTCTGCTGCGTTGTTAAGTTTTTAGCAAGGTTCAGGCAAGGGGAAGGCGTCCTTTTAGAGGGTCAAGAAATACAGGTCAGCCAGATAGTGTTGTCATCATTCAGTTTAAATCACATTTTCAAAACAGAAAGAGAAATTCACAGGTCATACACAGTCCTCTTCCTTGCCTGTTGAAATGTTTGTGTTGCTGTTTATGTTTAATAATAAAGAAAATGTCAGAAAGCTGGTCTTTTGGCATGTTTGTCCCTTTAAGCTGTTAGCCTAAGCCAGGGTGGGACCCTCCAGCCCAATCCTCCCCATCCCGTCTTGGTCTCCAGCCGCTGCCCTTCAAGAAGTCCTGTGCTTGGAGCCAAGGCTTGCCTTGTGGGCTCTCGCCTGGGGCCTGAAACCTTTGGACCTGAAACCATTTTAATTAATACTAGAAATTCTTTGTTCTCAGTTTTGAGGCCTGCTTCTCTGGGTTGGGGACAGATCTATTCGGAAATGAAAGCGATGGGAAAAAATTAAGTCCGATACTCTTTTTAATCCACAGAGTACCTGTCCTGGGTCCTCTTCTCCCCCCTGCATCCTTGGCGGCCTCATCATCTCCCATCTCTAGTAAATGGATGAGACATGGTTTATTAAGCACTTGGGCACGGGGTGCTATGCCAAAGGCTGGGGCCAGAGAGCAAAGGAAGTAAGTGAGGCCTTGCCCTCAGGGAGCTTCCATTTGAACTGGGGAAAACAACACCTAAAAGCTGAGCTTTTGCCAGGAACTAGGCCTCGAGGCGCTTCAGCTCCAGGGTCAAAATCCAAGGCGGGGAGGAGGAGAAGACAGTGCCTGGGGTCAGAGGCAAGGGTGAAGGAGAGGGCAAGGTCACAGTCAGGGTGAACAGGAGGGAGATGCAGAGAGAGCTGGCGTTCGTTCCCCTGCCCATACCGTGATCTGCCACCACCCACACACAGCTGGTGTGTGAGGCTCTGGGCTGGGCTGGGGATTTCAGGTGAGAGGCTGCTGGCTCACTGGGTGGCATGTCTGCTGGGAGTGACTTCCAAGGCTGGAGGACAAGAGGTGCAGGGCATCTCCTTAAGGCAACTAAAGACAAAGTCCAGTGTCCCCTAGCACTTCTTAACCACCCTCTCTCCCTCCCTCCCCTCTCCTCTTCTTTCATCCCTTGCTTCCTTTTTCCTTCCTTCTTTCTTCCTTCCCTCCCTCCCTCCCATAGCCTTCCCAGCAGTCTCTGGGCTGATTCTAGAGAGCCTTGGGTAGCTGAGATCGATAGTTTTCTACTAAGGTACGCGTAAGCTAGCTAGTTCAGTCTACAGATGCTGCCAGGTGGTGCAGCAGACAGAGCGCCGAATGCCGGTTTTACTTCAGACGCTTCCTAGCTCGTCACAGGCAAGTCACTTCACCTCTGTTTCCCTCAGTTTCCTCAGCTGCAAAATGGGTTGTTGTGAGGGTCCAATGAGATAATAATTATAAAGTACTTAGTACCATCTGGCACACGGTAAACACTATTATTATTTTTTTTTTAATTTTTTTTTTTTAATTATTTTATCTTAGGTGAGCAGGTCAGCTTTGAATACAGCAATTGTGTGGAGGCCACAGCAAGATCAATCAATCAGTCAACATTTATTAAGCACCTACTATGTGCCAGGCATTCTTGATGTACACTATCCATTGAGTGCTTTTCTCCTCCCCTCTTTAGGAGACTCCAGATCTGAGTCAAGACCTAAGGAAGAAAACAAGCATTTATTAAGCACCTACTATGTGCCAGGCACTGTGCAGTGTGCTCGGGATGCAAAAAGAGGTGAAGGGCAGTCCCTGCCCTCAGCCAGGAGCTCACAGTCCAATGGGGGATTCACATGCAAATACGTGCAAAGCAAGCTCTAAGTGGAATAAGTAGGAAGTAGAGCAGAGTGAAGGTTCTGGAATTAAGAGGGATTCAGGAAGCCTGCCTGTGGGAGGTGGCGTTGTAGTTGGGAGGTAATGGTAGAAGAAGGGGCTCAGCCACCCCCAGAGCCTAGAGACGGCAGGTCTTGTGCATGGAAGAGCTACGAGGTGTCCTGTGCCACTGGATTGAGGGGATGAGAGTTTGCATCAGTGGGGTGGCAGTGTCCCAGCAAGGGAAGGCTGCCTGTTTGAGAGTTGCTACAAAGGTCCAAAGGACACCTTGGATATCGGGTGGGGCGTGAGAGTGAGGAGCCTGGGGGACTGGGAAAATGGGGGGCGTCCCCAATAATGGGGAAGGTACTAGGGGTGGGGGGACGAGGTTTAGAGGGAGAGATCATGAGCTCTGTTTTGGACATACTGAATTTAAATGTCCACTGGACATTCAATTAGAGATATCGGAGTTGCAGCTGGAGATGGGAGACTGGAGGTCAGCAGAGAGCCTGGAGCAGGATGGGTAGATATGAGAATCCTCAGCACAGAGATGGTAATAAAATCCATGGGAGCTGAGGACATGGCCAAGTGAAGCAGTCTAGAGGGAGAAGGGAGGAGGCCTAGGACAGAGCCCTGAGGGACACACCTGCCGTTACAGGAGGTGATATGGGGGAGGATCCAGGATGCAAAGGAAACTGAGAAGGAGCGGTCAGAGAGGGAGGAGGAGAACCAGGAGGGAGTGGGCTGTCCCAAACATCTAGAGAGGAGAGGATCAAGGAGGAGACAGTGATCACCCGTCTCAAAGGCCAGAGCAGAGGTCAAGGAGAAAGAGCCATTGGATTTGGAAACCAAGAGATCATTGGTAACTTGGGAAAGAACAGTTGCAGTGGAATGATAAGGTCAGAAGCCCGATTGTAAGGAGGTATGAAGAGAGCGGGAGGAGAGGAAGTGGAGGCAGCTGGTGTAGACGGCCTTTTGGAGTTTAGCCACACAGGACACCCACAGGGCCAGTTGGTTGGATCCCTTTGGTATCAGTTCATCAGGCTCCATTGGCACATTATTCCACCCCCACCCTCCTTGGCTTTGTAGGCTTGATCTAGGCAGCCCAGGTGAGGCTGAAAGGGGGTAGAACACTTGGCCTGGAGTCAGGAAGACCTGAGTTTGAATCCTGCTTCAAACACTTCCTAGTTGTGTGACCCTGGGCAAGTCACTCTGTGCCTTAGTTTCTCATCTATAAAAAGGGGGATAATAATAGCACCTATCTCCCAGGGTTGTTGTGAGAATCAGATGAAATAACATTTCATAACGTGCTTTGCAAGCCTGCAAGTCCTACATGAATACCAGCTTTTGTGTGCAGAGGCACTGGAATGGGCTGGGGGAGGCTCCTGGGGAGATCGAAGCAGGCTGCCATGTTGTACCCGTGGCCAGTCACTTGCCCCTCTTGGGGCCTAAAGGTCCCTCTGGCTCTAGCCTGGTACCATTCCCAGCTCAGAGAGGCCAAGGCCAGCTTCAGTGGCTGCCCACCAAACTCCCCATGAGCCAAGTTGCTGTGGGCCTTTCCTGCAAGAAATGTCTGACCTACCCACTAGCCAGCAGGGGTTTCACTCCAACGCTCTCGAGCAGCTCTCCCGAAGGGCCTTTCCTTTGAACAGGTGTAGCTTTCAGGCCCAGACTGCCTTCCTCCCAGGCCTGGCAGGTGCCTCATTTCTGAGTGACTGTCAAGGTCTATGGATTTAACCTCTGGAGCATCTCTCCAATCTGCCCCTTCTCTCCTCTGACCCTGCCCCCACACTGGTGCAAGCCCTCACACCTGGACCAGGGCAGTGGCTGCTGTGGGGGTGGGGAGTAGATCTGCCTGCCTCGAGTCTCTCCCTACTCCAGTCCATCCTCCAATAGACCACCAAAATGATCTTCCCTCTGGTTATCTCCCTCTGCTGATCTGGGCTGGAAAAATGACCCCACTGGATTTCTTCTTGGATTTCCTGATCACTGCTTGGTCTAGTCTTTTTCCTTGATCTTTGTTAGTTATTAGAGAGAGCTGGGCTGCACCACTCCCTTGTACTCTGCCATCTTTGCCAGTCTCCCATGTCCCAGGGATAGGAGACGCAGCTAAAAGATGCAGCACAGTGCATGTAGTGGGTAAAGTGCTGGCCCTGGAGTCAGAAAGGCCTGAGTTCAAATCCTGTCTTAGACACTTACTAGCTGTGTGACCCTGTGCAAGTTACTCAACCTCTGTCTGCCTCAGTTTCTTCTATTGTAAAATGACAGAGGATTCAATGGCCTCTAATCTCTTCTACCTCTGAAGCTGTGACCCCACGACCCTTCCAAGGGCCTGTGGTATGACTGAGGAGGAGGCTCTCTGCACCTAGCTTAGCTGGCCCTTGGAGGACAGATATCCCTAGGGCTACCCAGCCCCACCCTGAAAGCTTTGCCAGCTCAAGGGGGACAGATGCCAGGACTCCCACCAGGGGAGGACTTGAGCTGGACATCAAGGCCCCTTCTGGTTCTGCCTATTGGAGATTTTAGCACCAGCACTTTCTCCTAACTGAACAGGCCTAAGGTTTTAGCTGGCTTCCAATCAGAGGATAGCGCCACCTGGCTGAGGCCACTACAAGAAGCAAATATTCTCCGTGCCAACATTGCCAGCTCCCCAACCCCCAAAATGGGCAGTTTGGGTGCCCGGAATGTATCCAGTTGCTGAGATAATTAATTGGCTTTGGTGTTTCCCACTTGCCCATGTTTGCTTTCCTTTGCCTGCCAATATTATAATGTCATCACTTGATACGGGAGTGTAAACGAGCCCAGGGAGAGCCAATGCTCCTGGCACAGCTGAGCAGGCCAAAGCCGCCCCAGCCTTTGGTCACTTGGCATCTTGCCCACCTCCAGGGAGGCCCCAGGGAACACTCCCCCACCCCCCACCCTCGACTGGGCCTCAGAGCCCAGAAAGGACTTAGGATCCTAGAACATCAGAACTGGGAGGGACCTGTGAGATTAAACACCGTCATCGTGTGGAGTGGGAGACTCTGGCCTCTGCCATTTTCACTGGCTGTCCCCAACGCCTACAATGCACTCCCTTCTTAGTCTCTCCCTCCCTATTGGCTTCCCTCAAGTCAACTAAAAACCCACCTTCTAGAGGAAGCCTTTCCCCATGACCCTTGATGCTAGGGCCTACCCTCTGTGGATGACTTCCTTTTTATCCTGCAGATGTGTCCAAGATCAGATTTGAGCTCAGAAAGATGAGTCTTCCTGACTCCAGGTCTGGTGCTCTATCCACTGCACCACCTAGCATGATACTCAACTTCTAACAGTGAGGTGATGGACTCAAGATGTAGAATGAGACTTAACATTTTTTTGAACA